GGCTGTGGTTATTTTTGAAGGATTCCTTCTGAGTATTACAGTACTGGGAAGTGTCATTGCATTGGTAGGATTTCGACTGCATGCCAATCCCCAAAAGACAAACGTACAACGCATGACTGTTTTTTTGGTTCGAGGTGGTGGCCAAAGTTTCTTTTATTATACATCTACATGACGCAGAGTCAGCTTAGGGTTGCAGCCAACTAATCCTAAGTATAAGACATTGGAGGTCTGCAGCAAGGGTACTTACTGGTAATGTGGGGGCTAGCCAATCTTGGCATCCCGTTAATAGAACAGATAATGATAACAAGAGAAAGTGTGCTATCTACCTACCACGAAAGCCTCGAGCAAGTCTATAGTACTAGAATACCCCGGATTTGTGTTGGTCGAAAACAAGTTCTGCCTTATTTGTGATCCTACCTTGCCCGAAATAATGTCACCCTGATGCTGGTACGTCAGCTCCGTAACCCGTCTTCCAAACATCTACTGTAAGTGCAAGTATAGGTATACGCTATGCAAAGTTGACGACATAATAGGCAAGTTACCTTATATGGAAAAATCTATTCAGCTAGCTATGTGCTGTGGTGTCCCATTGAACTTCCCCCACTTGCACGGTATTTGAATACAACATTTGAGAGCCTAATTAGTCTCAACCCAAATAGGCAAAGAGAATAAGAATAATCCGTAATTCCTACGTGACTCCTGTGAGCTGCAGCGTACGTATTCGAGTAACACTGGTGCGTTTTGCCCAAAAACCACGGGTCAGATTCGGCGGCATGAAGCTTTCGTATCGCGGCAAAAGACTATTTCAATCCAGGTAGCACTTCACCACCACATATTCTTTGCTCCAATCCATACCTAATTTGTATAGAACTAGCAGCAAAAACCATGTAGTAGCAAAGGCTTAAAAAACAGACAGTCGGGCGGCCTATACGTACGTAAAAATTAACGAATTAAATGCTTTAGCGTTTTTATACACAAAAATCAACAAATTAAATGCTTTAGCATTTTTATACGTAGAAATCAACAAATTAAGTACTTTAGCGTTTTTATATATAAAAATTACAAATTTAGCGAAATTAACAAATTTAGCGCTTTAATGTTTTTGTATATAAAAATTAACAAATTTAGTACTTTTAGCAAATTTAATGCTTTTGTGTTTTTGTACGTAAAAATTAACAAATTTAATGCTTTTACAATTTTACACGTAAAAACAACAAATTAAACACTTTTGTAATTTTATATATAAAAACAACAAATTAAACGCTTTTATAATTTTATATATAAAAACAACAAATTTAGCGCTTTTATAATTTTATATATAAAAATCAACAAATTCAGCGCTTTTGTAATTTTGTACGTAAAAATCAATAAATTTAACGCTTTTAATAATTTTATATAAATTTAGTGCTTTTAATAACCCTTTATATATAAATTAGCAATTTTATATAAAATTTAATAAAAAGAGCTACACAAATCACTTGTTTAAAAAACTGCTAAGTTAGCTAATTGTTTATGTTTAGTACTTTTGTATACAATATATTATTACATAAATTGCACGTAAAAACATTAAAAGCAAAAAGTTTTAATTTTAGCGCCCGCTACTCCGATCAAAAAAAGTAATTTGCTAGTTTATTTTAACTTTATAAAGCACTAAAACACTATTTGTGCCGCTTTTATTACTTAAAATAGCAACCGCTAATAGCTTTTAAAATGTAGTACAGCTTATACACGCTTAAAAGCATTTTGTAGCCCTAGTACGTTTATAAAGCCATTATAAGTGCTGTTAAAAGCATTAGCAGCACCTACATTAATATTAAAAGTACTAACAGTACTTATAGCAGCATTAAAAGCGTTAACAAAAGCTGTTAGTAGCGTTATAATTTATAATACTACTTTTTGCTTTTTAAATTTAATTATAGCAGCAATAATAATAGTTTTTATTACTTGTTAAAGTTAGCAGCACTTTTTTGTAGTGTAATTTTGTGCTAACTAGGTATTCTATTATTATTAAAAAAAACTTTATAGCTTAAAAAAACGCTAAGGATTTAAATCTAATGTAATATAATACTAGCAAGCTAATTTTGTAGTTTTTATAGCGCTTTTAATTTTTTTTGCTTTTGTTTAAAATTTTTAATTAATAATAACAGGTTTAATATATTTAAATCTACTTAAAGCAACTAGTATTTATTAAAATTGTTAACTTTTAAAGCTTTATTAAGCTGTACATAAACATAGCATGTATTATCAGCTATTACTTTAACATATAAACGTTTATAAAAAACGTAGCAGCAAAACATACCTTATTAGCAACTAAAAACACCTGTATAAAGCAGTAACTTTTTTTTAAAAATATAAGCTTTTTTTGCAGCTTTATATTGCTTGTAAGCTTTTTTTAAAACGTACTAGCTAATCGTTAATTTAACTGCTTTATTAGCAAACATTGCAGCTTTATAAATAACTAGTTCGCAAATAGCTTAATAGCTTTATGCTTTTTTAAATCGTGCTTTTTTTACGTTAATAAGCACTATAGTATACTTATATAGCTATAAACTACTAGTTCATACGTTTTAAAAGTAAATCTTTAACTTAGCATAAAGGCTTTTAACCTTTAAAATGCTTTAAATACTATAGTTATAATATTTATAAGTATAATAATTAGCTTACTATATACGGTGCTACTAATAAATAATGCTTAAATAAACTAATATACGTAGCTAATTAACAAATTTGCTAATGAAATTATTTTAATAATAAAAAGCTTTAGCTTTTATTTTATAGTAAGCTAAATAATACTACAAAGTTAAAATACTGTTAATATTATAATTAATCGTAAATAAACTAAACAAATAATAATAATAACATTGTTATTAATTTAAAGTAATTTTTTTGGCTATAAATAGTAGTAATGGTTTTATAACTTTAAACTTTTTGTTATTTATATAGTTTAGCTTATATTAACGTTTAATAAAACATTAATAAATACTTAAAACTATATAACCTTTTAGCTTTAGGTTATTTTACCGAGCTAATATACTAGCACGTACGTTATTTAAAAAATGCTAAATATAAAGCTATAGTTATGCTTTAAGCTATATAAACTTAATTATGTTGCAAGTAGCTTTAGCTTTATTAATAATTACTATTAAAAGCAAAAAAATATTATTAAGCAAAAAGCAAAGGTTGTTAAAATAATTAAAGCACTATGTATAAAATTTTTTTAGTTCGTTGTTAAAAATAACAAAAGCTATATTAAAAGTTATATTTAAAAAAGTAGTACTACTAATTTTAAAAAAAAGCACGTTAAAAAAATTAACTTATAAATATTACAGTTAATAAATTCATAGCGTTAACATAAAAAGCATAAAGTATTACTATAAAAAACAGGGCTTAAAAATAAACCTTATATATGCTATTTAACAAAATTATTTTAAGAAAGTATTTCCATATTTTTAAGCATTAAAAATAAAACTAAAAAAATTAATATACACGGTTTTTTTTATATTCAACCCTGTGCTATACATTATTTTACTATAGTTGTTAAAAAATTTAACCGCAGTTAATATATAAACCTTTTTTTTTATATAAACAACAGCTTATAAAATTGTTAATATTATTTTTAATTAAAACTAAAGTTAGGTTAAAAGCTTTAATAGTTTAATAAATAAAACAACAAAGCATAAAGTTATTAAAATTATTAAAAATTAAATTAATTATTGTTTTAATCATTTATTGCTTTTAATAAATTAGCATTATATAAGCAAACAAATAACTATAATAAAAATGTTTTATTTAAAAAGCTTACTTGCTAGCACTGCTATAAAACTTCGCAATAGCTTTAAATTAGCATTCTTAACTAGCTATAAAAATCTTGCAGTAAGTAGCTCAAGAAAATTTAATAAAAAAACCAGCCGTACAGTAAATAACATAACAAATATATTAGCTATCTTTTTTATTGCTTAGATTTAATTTTTTAATAGCGTAGCTTTTAGCTAACGTATAAGCTTGTTAAACATTAAAGCTTTACTAAAAAAAATCGAAAAAGCCGTTAAAAAAAGGTATAAAAAGCATTATAATTATAATAGCTACTAAAAATCCAAAATTTAATATTTTAATATAAAAAAAACTATAATTAATAGCTTAAAATAAAAAAAAACCAAAAATAACGTTGTTTTAATAAAAAATATAAAGCGCTAATATTTCTTTTAATAAATAAAAATAATTAATAATAATTTTAAAAATAAAAAAAAGTAAATAATAATGCAAATAAAAATAGTTGCACGTAATAATTAAATATATATAAATATTAGCTATAACTTATTTTAAACTGCAGTTTTAATAAGTGTTAATAAATTTAATAATGTAGTACGCTATAAATATAGCAAAAGTTAATAAATATTAATAATTAAAATTTTTAAATTAGTATATTTTGTTTATTTTATTTGCTTTATAGCTTTTAAAAACGCAATATAACTTGTTATATTAAATATTTAGTAAGTTTTTGTATATTAGTAATCTTTATAACTGTTTTTTTTATTAATTTTTTTTTGTTGTTTAAAGTAGCCCTGGTTACACATAGGTTTCCATATAAATTAAGTATAAATTAAAGCAGAAAGTAGGTGGGGTGAAAACAGTACTAAAATTGAAATAATCTCCTGCCGCGATACAAAAGCTTCATGCTGCCGAATCTGACCCGCAAAAACCACATGTTGAGCGGGGAGCAAGTGGACATCATTGCCTGTTGCGGAATTGGCGTCCAAAGATCGTGTTGGTAGGCTCGGGGCTGGGAATTACGTGCTGAAAACGTGGCCCATAATTCTCCGAATTCCCAGACATGAAACCCGCCAAATTTTATTTTTATCTTTGTTGTAGAAGCTAGCCCTACGATATGGTGATTCAGAGTGAACGCATATAACGCCCCAAGTTTTAGTTACCGATGGTTGGGTAGGAGATAGTTTTAAACGATAAAGGTTCTCGAACAGACACGCTAAACTGCATCAAGCGGTCGGTTAGCTCAGTTGGTTAGAGCGTCGTACGTTGCCCTTAACATTCCTTTGCTAGATTAACAATACCTTAAAGACTAACATGCTATAGGTACTAATAATGCGAAGGTCATGAGTTCGACCCTCATACTGACCACGTTTGTCTTTTTGCAATTTTTATGGCAAGACTACAGTACTTAATCTATACTACAACAACTTGATAGTTCTAGCTGTGAGTGCACTAGGTACAGATGAGGAAGCGCTAGTATCATTCACTACACCAAATAGGGTAGGCTTCGGGAATACAGTGCTGACAGTATTTAGTCAACACGCTGCTATTTACTTGAATCCACTGACTACCGTGTACTAGCCTAATTTCTCTTGCATCAGCATCCTGGTTCAGGGGCTCCTAATAGATACATAGTACCTACTTACGGCATTTTGACGAACGCTTTTTGTAACTAGCCATGCCATTTGATAAAGGACTCTCGGACAGCTTCAACAAGGAATATGAATCAGAGAGCACAACAAACTATGCGGCCTCGGGAGATACTACCTTACACTGGGTAAGTAGGCTACACTGCAGCAGCGCTTGTAACGCAAGTAGGTATGTACATTAGGTACTTCTACGCCTCCCTCAGAGCAAAACACTGCAACGGCAGGGAATTCACTAACATCTCAACCCTGGCTCGGACGATGCCGGGGCATCCTTGTCTTAGTAGTCCTCTCCATCATTTTGTCAATTCATACAATTTCTGATATACCTTTATACCTTACATATACCTACCTAGTGTACGCCCGTTCGCTGCATCTTGATATTACCGTGAGAGGTATACGCACCGAGTGCGGTCAAGGGGAAACGGCTGTACCTCCCTTCGCCTCCCACCAGTTTCATCCTCCTAGCTTCTGACTGTTTTCCTCGAGTTCTGTAAATTGCACATACCTACTTGACTTATTCGAAGCCAGTTCTTGTCTAGTTCGTCTCATAATTTGAACTCTTCTCCGGAAGTCTGGTACTGTTGGGAGAACTCATTAGCTGCAGTACTGTAATTGACCGTTTGTCGCCCCCATTTTAATTCACGATACCCCTGAATTGCTTGCTTGAACCGCATCCCGTCGCATCGCATCGCATCGAATCGCGCGCGACTTCGCGAAGCGTCGTGTTGGCTCAAGCATCGACTATTTCCGCATAACCTAACCTCTGCTCTGAATCACCAGGTAAGTTGTTGGCTTGATTTTCTTCTCTTTCGTCGCCTTGATTTTTCTTTCCCACAATATATGTATATCTACCCTTCGAGGCTGCCGGATGGCATGCGCAACGCAGCTTATTCAGCCTCTGCCATCCACCACATTTATCGTCGCCACAAAGAACCTTAAAACGGCGCAGGCTGGTTCTCCGAAGAAGCTATGCGTACTGCCTCCCAGATGTTTCCCCCAATCGGTGACCGAGTGGTTACACCACCATGTCACATTTGCTGACATGCTGCCTTCCGCTGACCCCAACCTTACCGATCCATCCCGGTGTCGTATTGCCTTGTTGCCAGAGCTTTTTCAGAGTTTGGCGGCTGCTGTACTTGCGCGTGGGCGGCGCCGGGTGTGTTGGAGCGCATCCCAACTTTAAAATGGATATCCATTTTACTGCGTCAAGCTGCCGAGATGTTTCATCTGCCGCACCCAAATTTATTCTGCTGATGTCAATCCTTTCTGCTTCGGTGCCCATCTTCGGTGAATCCTTCGATGCTGATGTCTCCTGCGAAATAGTGAAGGATTGATTGCATATCTGCACCTGCGCCAAATCCTCATGCAACAAACAATCTGAAGCCGACACCCCATTCGACCCCACGTCGCAGCGGGCTCTTTCTTCTGTGGCCAAGCCAAGCTCGCTCCTCCATTCTTTGTGCGACGCGAGAGACAAAGGTTTACCTACCTGGGTTTGTCGCTTCGACAAAGATGCCCGTCGATACACCTCCTCCTCCCGTCGACACAGCTATGGCGAACGTCTCGTCGTACGGTCGTTCGCGCGCCCAGAGCACATCTAGCGACCGGCCGTCCACCATTGCAGTCACAGGTTTAATGTCACCACCTCTTTCCGTATCGCCAGAGGCAGCTTTCATCGCTGCTTCGGCCGCTTCGCAGATCGTGACGAATGATCACGACAGTTATTTGGGGACATGGTACGACCAAGTCGGCATCGAGCCGGCGGCGGAGACTGCGCTCGTCTCCAATGGCGCTCTGCAGCTCGCCAACAACTTCGTCGACCATTTGTTGTTTAATGTGCTCGCTACTGCCAAGTCTACCGCACTCGCCTCACTCCGATCTGCTGTGGTTGAGATCTTGAAACCGAAATTAGCAAAGGACGTCATCAATTCAGCCGATGAAGAACTCAGAGAGTACCTCGGAGGTGGAGAGATCGAGAATCTTGCCCGTTCTTCCCCGGCGGAAGCAGCGAGAGACTGGGACCTCGAATTAGTCTGGAAAAGGACGCGGCTTCGGTGCATGGTCTACTCGTCCCTTGGAGATATGGAAGAGGAGGATGAAGACAGCTACATAGAGCAAGAACATCTTGAAGGAGAAGTTGACGATGTGCTAACCGAGCTTGTTTCACCGGCAGTTGCTATTTTTCTTACATCCGTGCTCGAATTCATGGGTGAACAGGTTCTCATTGTGGCCGGGCAGGCAGCGTTTAGTCGGTTGCGTGTGAGGTACGAGAAAGAGCTTCAAAATGGCACACGACAACCCGGCGATGTTTCTGATCGAATTGTGGTCGAAGAATCAGACATGGAGCGGGTTGCTCTTGATAGGACCCTGGGCCGGCTATGGCGTGCATGGAAGAAGAGGATACGATCTCCTACCGAACCCAATTATTCCCGTCCATTCTCTCGAAGCTCGGCGAGTGGTTTTGGGGCCTATCACCAGAGGCGCGAGAGCAATTCCGCAGAACCCTCCACTGTGCCGCCGCTCATCGAGTCGAACACCGCCACAGACGACAAACCCAACCACTCGGGTAGTATCCGAGATAGAGCTCCGAGCCCTATTAAAAGCGAGAGCGAATTTCTCGATCCTTCTATGATTCCTTTGCCGGACAGCGATATCGAGGCTACCTACAGCGACGAAGAAGAATCCGAAGGGGAGGATCTTCCCTTACGCCCAAAGAGCTGGTTTGTTACGCCTGGTAAATTGGATGTTGGGAGCTCGTTTGCTTCTACGTCCTCTGTCAAGCGCACACCTTCTCTTCCGTCTCGGAAAAAACCTCGTTATAGCTCAATCTCCGAAGAAGACAGTTCAGATGTTGAGAATGCTCAGATTTCTACCGGGCGCGCCAAATCAGAGCTTCAAGATCCTTCGGGAGTCGAGACTGATGGATTGGTTGGTGATAAGGCCAACTCAGATGATGCAGCCGTTGGAGAAGCTGTAGCGGTTGACCCAACTGCTGTATCTGAAGATGTTGCCGCTGAGACCGATGTCGAGGAAGATGAAATTGACGGTGAGATTGAGGAGTTTGCGGAAGAACCGGAGATCTTGACCTCAGCACGGATATCAGTTGAAGGAAGCATTTCACCTACGTTCTCAGAGCCTGGGAGACCCTCCTCTATTATCCTGACGAGGTCAAACAGTGTCCGCTCTGTCAGAGTCATTGAGGTCCAGGGACCGCGTTCGCGAGCAAGCTCCATTGAGTCAAACCCACGTAGCCCTACGCCGCGTAGTCTTACTCCACGCTCATTTACCATCCCTCGTGATGGGGGCAGTTCCAGGACCCCGCCCATTGTGGAAGAGAATGACCCGTATGCGATACCCTATGTCACTGTTACAAATGCCGCAACAGGCACAATGTCGTCGTATGCCGAGGGTGTTCGCGAATTTCATACGACACTAGCTCCACCTCGGCGTAATCGTTCACCTCCTAAATCAACACCTTCATCGATAACCTCTCACGTGTCAACAGCGACCAACGCGGCTGCAATTAACAACAACGCAGGCTTACCGTACGAAGAACGGCATGACAGTCTCCAAAGGCCAGTTAGTGGTTTGAGGAATCCGCCAATGCCAACCTTGCCCGAGAGGAGTACAAGTCGACCTATGTATGTACAGACAACCCTTACACAGCGTGCGTCACCTGAGTCGCCGAGGTTGCCACGTTCTGTACACAGTGATTCGTCATCGCCGGCTAGGTTCAAGGCAAAGCGAACCTCTGAAGAGAGTGGCTCTAACAGTCCTGCGGATGTTGCTCGTAATTTTGAGGAGTTGATTCAAAGTAATGAGACATTACAATACACACTAACACCAGAAAATATGCGAGACATTGATGTAAGTGGCCTGCTTTTGATTACTTAAGCTAGACCTAACAATGAGACAGTCTCAGTCCCCTCAGCCAAATGGCAGTCCAAAAATCGGCCACAAGATCAGGAAGAGCGAGGACGGCAAAATCGTCCGAAGTTCGCGGTCCTCTTCTATCAAGAGATCGGTATCTGTCAATAAAGCAACAGGACTATCCTCCCATCCTCCCACTGATAATTCGGTCAACGGTAGGTACAACGGTACTTCCAAAGCATTGCCACCAGTATCTTTGAGGAATCGCACAGGGCCTGCGCCCCAGGCTCGGGAGGCCAGAGTCCCAAGAGAATCAATGCAAGATTTTGCCGATTTTATTCGCTCTACCGGACCCCCGGGGGCAAACATTCCTCGTGCGAACGGGGCATTCACAGGGAGTCCGAACATCACACGAAGCGTCACTGGACCCCCATCTATCATGACAAACTCTAGTATGGAAGTTCGACGAGGACCGAAACTTCAAGCTAGAGATGCTACTGTCAACGCATCCAGCGAAAGCTCCGAATTAATCGATTTCATCCGACAGGGCCCGCCAAGTGCCAACGGTAATAATCACCGAATCCCACGCACAGTTGCCCCGTTTCGAAATACCCAAGATTCTGACTACATGACGAGTGCTATGGGAGGCAAGGCGGTGGATGCTGTCATTCCTAATGTCCGAACCAGCCAAGCCTCAACAAATATCACTGAGGCATCCGCCCCATCGTCTATGAACTCACAGAGCGCGCTCTTGAACAAGGCAAATAGGCACCAATTACACGCTGGTAATAGTTTCGACGAAGACGAGATGATGCCAAAGCGAACGCGGAGACGAGTCCGTGACCCGTA